CTGATGAAATGCTGCTGCTAAAAAAAATCCAAGTACAGAAAGGAATGCTCATTCATGTTCAGCTCAAACGCTGTAATTTATATAAAAAGAGAACATCTCAAAGACTCTTTCACAGAAGATTTCTTGCTTCTCCATCAAGCGTGCTATTTCACAAAGTGTTTTTATTGTAAAGAGGAATTCCTCTGCTTTCGGCCCCGGTTGTAAGTCTGTCGTACAGCAGCGCTGTCACATTATGCGCTCCTCATGTTGGTATGCTAATAAAGGCCTATACAGTGGCTCCCTTCTCTCATTCATGCTAGGAAGCCCTCCAGTAGGCAGCAGGCTGTGGATTACTCACCCCCCCCCCGTTTCCATAACTCTCCCTCATCTGTGGGTCTTTGGTTCGTTCCACTCCCCCTCTCCTCCCCAGTCTTTGTGCCTGACCTCCTCTAATCTCTCTAAGACTTTAAGCAGTGAGAGATTTGTCTGTTTCCCCTCTGTACACTCAGGCCTGCACAATGCAGTTGTGTTTTCATAGGTCAAAGCCTGTGGAATGTAACATTTGAATTTACTTCTTGTTGAAACGTTTTATGAAACGTAGTAATTGAAGTAAGAAATAGAAAATTAAATTGAGATTTTAAAGGGCCCATATTTTAGATGTTTCTAGTATTTAAATTTTTTCCCTGACATCCACAAATGACATTTGTGTGTGTTTATGTACCAAAGGTAGTTCTAATTCATTTTTACATGATCGTTTTCCGACCTGTCTTTATCCATTAGAATTAAACAGGCTTTGTTACTGTGTCTTTAAGACTGATGTATGTAAATGACCTCTTTTCTGCTTGGTTGCCATATTGTGCCTAATTCAAAAAGCAGACCAGGCTGAACAATCCTTATCAGCAAGAATGGCTGGAGCTAAATAGCTGTAGACTGAATAGGCGGATATACACATAAATGTTTTTTTTCTGTGATCGCTAAAACAACGAACTCAAAATTAGCTGTTTCTGCAGCTTAATTTCCATATATGGACTATTTATTGGAGAGTAACCAGTAGGTCTTGAGAGTTTAACATAGTTTACATACTCTCAAAACCTTCATTCCAAATGAGTGAAAATCTGGTTTTCCATGATGTGAACCCAGCAAGTTTTTTGTTTGTGTGAAACTTGGCTTAAGACTGTTTGACGTGCCTGTCCTACATTTTTTTCTTGTATTTTGTTTTTGCTTTGACACCATTTATCACCCTTGTGTGGGTTTATGTTCTGAAAACCGTCGTGATTCATTTTTATGTTACCATTTTTTTTTAGCCTTCGTCCCTTAAAATTGAACAGGCTTTTTTTTTCCTCGTTCAGAAAGCAGTTTGGGCTGAAATGTGCTCGTTTTTGTGACATCACAAAACAGTGAATTCAAAATGGGCAGTATTTGCAGCTTAAATTTCACGTATAGACTGGAGAGTGAATGGAATGTTTTGAAACTTTAACAATGTTTACTTCTTACATCAAAATCTTTAATTCCAATAAAGAGAGGAAAAATTAGTTGTTTTTTTCCAGTGATAAAGGCCCTTTAACATGCAAATAAAACTGCTGTACGGTGTCTGAATTAACATAAAATTGCTTGTAAGCATTTGTCTTTATTCATCTGCTGTATGTATCCCCCCCACAGCCTCCTCCAGAGTGCAGACGAAGAAGTTGCAGAAGAAGTAAAGAAAGCTTTGCAGCCCATTATTCCTAAACTACAAAAAATCCAGAACTCAAAAGGAGTGGAAGCTCTGCTGGAGAAACTGGCCTAAAAAAAGAAAAAATATCTGTATTGATCAACGGCTCACGTTTTCACACCGCATCCTGACAGTGCCGGAGTCTGAGACCAAGGTCGTAACTCATTTTAAAACAGCCAGGCTTGCTTTTCCCACAGCCTTGTCTTAGTGTAATTTACAGGGGGGGATTCTCAGTTGAAAATCCTGTCTCCTTCTTTATGACTTGGCTTAAGCAGCCTTTAGTTTGTAATTATGCAAAACAATCCCAGTCGAGTTGTGCAAAGGATTTTCTAATTTCTTTTTCCCTTTTGTTTTTTGAATTGTTACCTATGAATTTGTATGTATTTAAATACAAAATAAATGACTACATTCATATGCAAGCTCTTGCGTTTTTCATATTAGGAAGGAAAAAAAATCCATGCTCTGTGCAACTTATGAATTAAACATGTTCAGCTGTCCCTTAATTTTAGCCTCTACATAGCACATGAAATATATTTTTTCCATAAATAGAACTAAAGAGACATGGTTGCCCATGCAAATGAAGAACCTGAGGCAGTGAAAGTGTTGTGTCTGAGTGAAAGGATTGATTTAGAAAGCGTAGAATCATTTTGACTGTGTCAGAATGCAACAAAAGGGTGTTTAAGCACCATTACTCAAAAGCATTTTGACTGCAAAGAGAGGTCCTAATCTCTCAGCCCCACTAAACTCCAAACCTTCAGCCTCATGTTGAAGGCGTGTACTCTGCGAAGAAGTGGAAACGTGCACTCTTGCTAGAAAATTCCTTCTGCTGTCTAGTTCTGCTTCCATCTGTCTGCTCTGAGTGTGCTCGGTGAGGCGAGAAAGGGCTTATTCACCACAACACAGCTTCCTTATGATCTTTAAGGATTAATCCCGTAAGGATGGTCTGTTCTTTAGGAGTTTAACTATACATCATATTGCATTGTTCTACACGTAGAGGTATTGAACAGACTAGAGCAAATGAAGTACTCTTAATACTGATTATATGGTGTGAAGCCTGTTAGTGTATATTAGCCCTGGTATATTCTTTTGTGGCACATTATAAAATATTGTATTTAAATAATTTTAAATGGTCTAATAAACTGAAAATTATTGTGTGGATTTGTATACTAAAAACAATTCATATTTACATGATCATTTTCCAACTTTATCCCTTAGAATGAAGGGTTTTGTGATGCTGTTCCTTTAAGACTGATATGTGTAAATGACGTCTGTTCTGATTTGGCTGCACTGTGCTATGTCTAGTACACTCCTCACAACTTCAAGGGCAAATGGGTGGAGCTAAACTGCTGTAGGCTGAATAGGTGGGTGTAGTTTCATTTATGGACCACGGACTGAGGAGTGAACATGCATTTTGAAACTTGGCAATGTTTACACACATCTAATTAATTTAAAGTGAGAAATTCAGTTTCTCATGATATGGGACCTTTAACATCAGGATAGATTGTCAGGCACACCTTATTTTTGCTAAATTTAATGATGTATCAATTTAAGACACCACTGAATTGAACCAAGTCAAATTATAAATGTGAATCTTTACACCCCTACTGTTCTGGTCTGAACAGACTTTGCAAATGAAAAGCTTTTCAGTTGGTCTGCGTCTGGACTCTAGTTAGTGGCAAATGAGGCAGTTTTTTGTGTTTGAATAAACTGCACAAACTTTTAATTTTAAGACCTTTAGGTTTGTGAGTTTGAGATCAGTTTGTATTACTACATATTTTAAAGATGGAGTACTTTTCAGTAGCGGGGATCCAGGGCCTCTTCTAATCTGTCCGGCACAGAAACCTTGTAGCTTGAGGAAAGCTGTTATGTGAACTGTAAATCGGCTTTTGCGGAGTGAATCTTACACAGATGTCCATAAAGGGACAGAAAAAAGTATTGAACTATTCATGGCCAGATGTTAGACCTTGAACTCATTATTTCAATCCCTTTACTATTTCTGCCCTGGATTAGTTCTTTGTACTGGGTTACGTTAGACTTTGACGTCTCAATTGGAAAGCTCTTTAGAGTGACTTGTCTTTTTTTTTTTAACAACATATATTTAGAGAGTAAAAGACAACGACTGCTTTTCTTCCCATTCTGTTAACATTGTTGATCTTTGCTAATGTCAAAAATTGGGTGTCCACAATATATATATACATACATACACACTGTGGACACCCCTTCTTATTTGTGAATTCCGCTGCATTAAGGTGCACTCACTGCTGACACAGGACTTCAAATGCACACACAGCTTGTATAGTCCATAGAAAAGCACTGACACTAGAACAAGACACTCTGGAGCAGCCACACATGAGCATGTCACCATGTCCAGTGCCAAGTGTAGGCTAGAGGGGTATGAAACCCCACAGTATTGAGCTGTGGAGCAGTGGAACTGCGTTGTCTATAGTGATGGAGAACGAACCAATACCTTTGGGATGAGTTGGAGTGGCGTTTGTGATCCAGAACTAATCATCCAACATCAATACCTGATCTCACCGGTGCTTCTGCTGCTGAATGCAATCAAATCCTCACAGCAAGTTTCAACATTTAGTGTAAAGCCTTCCCCAAACGAGTAGAGACAGTCACTGCTGCAGGTGGAGACAAAGTCCTTTTTAATACTCTTGATTTTGGAAGAAACATTGAATGAGCAGATGTCCATAAACATCTGCAAACCAGGGAACACACTTCTACACATTTTAGTGCACAATTGCTGTTTATGTGCTGAACATATTGGTAAAAAAATAACACGTGTCATGTACAAAGGTTATGGCACATTTTATATGTTACATTCAACAACTAAATAGATATTGTGCACCAAAAAATACATATTTGTTTGTTTACTGTAGAGAATTTAACTGATTTTCACATGGACAATCAAGAAAATGTCATTTGATCAGGTATCCATACAGATGACATTTTTTGATATACAAAACATTGCATACAAAATCATTTTACAAAAATACAGATTTTTTTGAAAATATCTCAGTCTAGCAAAATTGCCTGTGTGTACAAATTGGTGCATTAGAAGCATATGTTAAAAAACAGTCCTAGTTTGAAGCACACTGAAGATGCTGAAGATGAAGATGCTGTTGCATACTAAAAAAGGTATAGTTTCAAAGCAAATCAATATAAAACAGGAAAATGCTGAGCTAATATGTAGGACCTCCAACTGACTGGGTGAAGTCAAGAATTATAAAGGAGTTCCTGCATCTTTTGAGTTACCATTTAGCACAGGTATCTCACCTTATCACACCGTATCACAGGTCAAACATTATTCACAGTGGAGCGGTTCTGGAGCGGTAGTGTATGGCTTCTCGCAGCACTCTGCAAACTTCTTGGCAGCTCTTTTGGCAAACCTCACTTTGCCACGAGCCTTCAAACTGGAAGTGTACTCGTGGGATTTCAGCTTGGAATAATAGTCGGAGAACTTGTTGTATAAGATGGAGATCGGCATGCCGTTCAGAATGATCCCAAATGAGATGCAGGCGAATGCAAAAATCCTGCCCAAGTGAGTCTCTGGGAACATGTCCCCATAACCCACAGTGGAGATACTTACCTGTGGAGGAGAGAAATAAGCAACATTTCAATTGACTTTTACACATTTATGTGATCATTTAAGGCACTCGTTTGCCATTTAAGGAAAGAGTATAGTGGATTTTTTTGGTGGGAAACCTGACCTGCAGCCAAGTGGGTGCACTTTTGAAAATGTCAGTGGGGGATTACATTAGAAAAAGGAACGTGACGCATAGATGGCAAAGGCTATATTTGCACTCCGTCTTAACACCCTCGAGAGGCCATGTTTAATAGCATTACAGTATAAAGTCCCTGCGTGGGCACGGTTCAGCCGTAAGGTACGGTTCCAAGTTGGCACAGCCACTACTGTAAATTTCAGTGATGCTGATGCCAGGGAAGGCTTATTTGTAAACTACATCTAATTAAACTAGTAATTAACTATACAGTAGCTGGCTGGTAGTTCAACTACATTTATATGTCCCTAGTGATTCAAATGGTTAAATTACTTTTTCGGCCACTTTTTGTGTAGTTAACTACTGAAACCTAAAAAAAAAAAATCAGACTATAAAAAGCTGACATTCCTTGCACTTTTCTGTGAATAGTAGGGCATTTTATTTTTTTGGTTTATGTACTATGACCTGTAAAAAAGTGGGCACTTTTTGCAATAAACTGTGTGGCATTCTTTTGCTGGTATGTGACTTTTTTGTATTGTATTTTTTTCGAATTTCATATCACATTGTCAATTTGATATTTTTTTTGTTTTTACAAAGTAGTTTGAACTATTTAAGTAGTTAACCAAACTACATTCGTCTCTACACACTTAAAAATGGTCCCTCAAGTGTTCCTTAGTAAAGAAAATGCTTCAATGTAGAACCATGAAGAACACTTTGCATGATTGAAGGGTTCTTTGCATCATGAAAGGATTCTTCATACTGATGGAGAATGTGCTGTTGATGGTTCGATATAGAACCTATTTGAAAAGGGTTTTTCTATTGTTTCTATTGTTCTTCAAGCATTCTTTAATAAAGAAGATAGTTCTATATAAATATAGAGAAAGTGTTATTTGCACCGTGAAAGGGTTTTTTAGAGAATGGAGAAGGTGCTGTATATGATTCTGTATAGAACCTTTTTGAAAAGGGTTCTTCTATTGTCCAGCTTTTTTGAAAAGGGCAGCAAAAGGGTTCTTCTTTTGTTACAAGCTTGACATCGAAACAATAGAAAAACCCTTTTTGGTGCTATATAGAACCCTGTTCAAAAAGGTTCTATATAAAACCATCTACAGCACATTCTCCATCAATCTGAAGAACTCTTTCACCAGGCAAAGGACCCTTTAATCAAACAAAGGGTTCTTAGAGGTTCTATTTAGAACCATTTTCTTTACTAAAGAACCCTTAAAGAGCCAGCTTTAAGAATGTATGCTTTCAAAGTAGCTTATTTGCATTATTTGCATCCTAACAATGCAACAGTGGTTCAGCCTTCCTTAACAGAATATTTATAGTATAGTTTACTGCAAATTTAGAACAAGACTTTTTTGATGGGCTGAGGGGTTGCAAAGACTTCTCTTGGTATCCTGAATAACCTTGGTTGTTGCTTTAAATGGACAGGAATACAGAAAAACTACTTACAGCTGCCCACCACCACGCATGAGGTATGCTGGTGAAGTTTGTTTGATGGACATCATGCTCCACTGTGTAAACCATAGCAGAGAAGGTGAAAATTCCCATTGCAATGAAGAGGAAAAGGCATCCCACTTGCTGGTAGCACTGGCGGAGCGTGAAGCCGAAGGCTCGCAATCCTGTGGAGTGCCGGGCCAGCTTCAGGATGCGGAAGATCCTCATTAGACGCATGATGCGTAGCACCTGTCCCACTTTGCCCACCCTCCCCACCGTCTCAATGTCGCTGTGGTGCCTCTGATAGTCCTCATCCTCAAAGCACTCCAAAATCATCTGCAGGTAGAGGGGGAGGATAGCGATCAGGTCCACTCCGTTCAGCACACTCCTCCCAAAGCGCTTGAGGTCCGGTGTGGACACAAGCCGAAGCAGGTACTCCACGGTAAAGAATGCAATGCAGAAGGTCTCCACATACTCTGTGTAGGTCTTTCCACTAAGCTGGCCGGTGGGCGTTTTGTACTGCATCTCCTCCACCGTGTTGAGGGTCATGGCCACCAGTGAGACCAGCACAAAGAAGCTGGAGGCCACAGCCATGAGTTTGGCCGTAATCGAGGAGAAAGGTTTCTCCATGAGGTTCCAGATCTTGCGCCGGATCGGTCCCAAAGCCATCCCTCTGAAGAGCTCCTCATTTTCCTCCACCTCAATCTCGGCCTGCAGCTCTCGTTGAACCTTAAGCTGCTCGTTCAGCTCATCCTGCCGCTCCTCAAAGGAGATACGGCAGCACCGGTGGGTGTTCTTGATTCGGACGCCCCAGTAGTTAATCTCCTCCAAGAAGTTGCGAGGACACAGCTCGTCTTTTATCCAGAGAACCCCGGTCCGGTAGAAATTGAAGATGTTGTGGAAGATGTCCGGATCCCGGTCAAAGAAGAACTCGTTGTTCTGGACAATGTAGTCGTCGCAGAGGTCAAGCTTTCTGTTGTGGTCCGTGTACGTCGCAAGACGGCCAATTCTGGTCTTGGGGTATTTCGCTGCCACCCTGTAAGAGATCTGGTACACTTTGCCACCCACATTAATATTCAACATGTAGTTCTTAATTGGAGACGAAAGCTTTAGAGGTGTGGTCATCATTCGGTCATCTTCATCATTTTCGTATTCTTCATAGATGTCATAGATGTCCCGACTGAGTTCCTGCATGGAATTCCAAGGCTTCAGCCAGTTTTGCTGGGCGAAAGGAAGCTCATCTTCCACCACAGGATCACTGGCACAGAGGTTTGCGCCTCCAAGTTTGTAATTGGGGAAGAGGCTTCGCCTCCTTCCCTTAAACTTGAACATGCTGGCAGTGTCCTCTCAGCCAAGTCCGCTCACAGTTTACTGAGGGTGCGAGAGTGATGCATGTCTCTAATAACTCTGTACGAGGTGCATCGCAGCACACCAGCGGGAAGCAGCACTGACCGTCCAATGTTGCTGACCGAAAGGATCTGCGTGCTTAACGGTTTAAACGCTATTATCCTCTCTTCCAGACTCCCTCTCCCCGCCCTAATGTCTTTCATTTGCCTTACATTCACAAATCTCCTCTACAACAGACCTTGGGTATTATCCTATATGCTATGCAGAAACTCTAATGGGGGCTTTCCTGTTCCTAAATTATACATTGCGACAAATCCTTTTCATCAAAGGAATTTGTGGATTACAAATCACATTTTCATAGTTAAGAAGCAGAAGAAGCAGCAGTAGACAACTGACCATCTGCTATACACAACTGTAGTCCATCTGACCTATACACGACCTTGTAATGGATAGACCGCTCTTACACAGGCTTTTGGATGCAATAAGGCAGGGGTGGGGAACTGAAGGCCAGAGTCCAGCACAGTTTGGTGATCTCCCTGCTAAATAGCTGATAAGTTGAATCAAGTGTGCCTGAGAAGGTAAATCACCAAACTGTGCAGTAATCTGGCTCTCCAGGACCGGAGTAGCCCACCCCTGCAATAAAGGGTGCAACTAGGCCTTTTGCATCGTATACCAAATCTGGAGTACAAAACCTGGGAGTAACTTTGGCTGCTCTGTTGTGCCTCGCATATTAATATGATACTGTTGTCTATTAGCATTTAAATATTATAGCTTCATTTGGGCTTTTCCATCCCAAAATGCTGTCCATGCATCTGATACCATCAGAATTAATGACACTAAATACATATTTTAAAATGGATAGATACGGCCCTAAAATCTGATTGGCTGAGCCGTGTTCAAAGCTGTGGTAAAATCCACAATATACCCTCCTGAGACAATTAAGACAAATTAAAGTTTAAGTATTTCAGTAATTTTAAGATGAAATAAATGTAGTGTCAAAGTGATTTTTTTCAAAATTACTTTGTGTTTAATTTTTATATAATGTTCTTGATGGTGGACAACAGGATGTTGTAGAGTAATTATTCTGAGGTCATGCGTTCTGCATCAGACCAAAACCCTGATGTAACATCAGAAATTTCAAAAACCTTAACATCAATCTACTGCTCAAAGTAACTTTAGGGCGTTCAGAGGGAAGAGAATTCATTTATTTTGAATATTTTCATTTTTGCATGTACAACTGTGGAAAAGGACATTTTCTAATAAATTAGGAGTTAATAAGTAAACTAGGATTAAATAAGGCTCAGATCCTGAGCTTAAATGTCTGCAAACACTCATTCCGGCTGTCTGTTTAGTAGTAAGAGTAAAACTGAAAATACTGGAGGTACAAAATATGAGGAGCAAAAAGAAAAAAAATAGAGACAGTAATATCACAGTAATGTATTTAACTCCTTAGCTTACATGCTGTTGCTTCTAACCAAACAGGATCACAAGAGTTGTGATCATCCTTTAATTTCCTCTGCTTCAGTCAATTTCCTGTCACCTGTGATACCATGAATTTCATGTAACAGATTTAGTAAGTTTCAGTGTCCACCATCAAAAAAGTCTACCGCTGGGTGGTTAAACTTTTATGGACATTATTAGAAGCATCAGAAATACATATTTTTCTTTTGCTCCAATAAAATGTGGTTGCTGAGCAGCCATTTTGAAAAGGCAAAAAGCCTGTTGTGAATGACACACCCCACCAAATGATATATCCCTGGAAAGGCCAGGTTTTAGCATTGTAGCTTATACGGTTTTTGAAATATCCTTTGGGAACTCCTGTCCCCCAGTGAGGGCAAAAATTAATTACAGGGTCCTATGAGGATAAGCTATGACCGCCTTACAACAACTGAATTCTGTATTACTGTGCCAGGGAATAAAAACCCTTGTGCTGTTAATGTAACAATCTTTGACTCTAACGCACCGAGTGCACTGATAAAGTAAGAACTCGTTTTTGTTTAAACTGTGGGGCTGACATCCAATTTTCCTAACTAGAACTAAACTGGTCATCAAGCTAACAGTCTAAACAACGCCATCATTAATATTACAGGCTTGAATTAAAGTACTTACGATATGATTCACTGTAAAACAGCAGTATAAAAGTCTAAAGAATGTCACTTGAATGGCTTAAATGCTTCAAATGTCCGTGTTTCCGTCAGAAGAAGCGTCCAGACAGCTCCGTACTTCCTAAGCAGTGTGCTAGCTATGGAAGTTAAGAAATTCTAGCCTCTACAGCCAAATAGTGCATCACTGATTGAGTATGGATGTGGTTGAGTCCAAAATTACTATTTTTAGCTATATTATGCACTATTAGGATGCAGGATCCAGTATTTAAATTCCTACGTAAGTGCACTATGCAGGGAGCAAGGAGCCATTTGAGATTCAGCTCCAGCGTGAGAAGAGCAGTGACCAAAAAGTACTTATAGCCAAAGTTTTTGCATTAAACAGTGCTGTGTTATATGTTCAGTTATACAACACCAACTTAAAAAATTCATAAAATGACTGCAGTATACAGTGATGGGCGGCCGAACATTCTTCTCTTCGTTCACAGATCCATGGTTGCTTGTCGATACCACACTCTAAAGGAACTACATTTGTTGGTGGAATACTTATTAATAAAAATAAGTTATTTTCTGAAAAATTGTTTTATCATATTTTATGTTGGCCACTGTTTGATAAAATCAATAAGCCACTTGAGGCTGTCTGTTGCGATTTTATCATGGGGAAAGGTGTTCTCCATGATAAAATCGCAGTAACACACAGCCTCTGGTGGCTTACTACTTTAATAAGATACATCTAAAACTCATAGCGCAGGAGCAAGAAACAAAGTGCATGAACCATGTTGTAAAAGTCTTACCTCTAGCTACACTTTTAAGATTTTAAAGTAAAATTTTAAAATGATCTTATTTGTATTTAAGGCTCAAAATAGCTTTAACACATATTAGATCTGCAGTTACTGGCTTTCTTCAAATACCCACAGTAAGTAACACAAAAAGCAGAGAAGGGTCTTTGTTTCTCAAGTGTGCCACTTAGTACAACCTTTTATTAGACGGACAGTGCAAACATTTGAAAATCTCTTTAATTTAGCTTTAAATTAAAAGTTCTACCTCTTTTTCTATTTAGTTTTAATTTTATACATCTTTAATTTTATTCATCTTTTTTTCAACAAGTATCATCGGTCTGTAAAACACTGAGCTGCTACCTGTATTTATAGTGTACTACTAATAAACTTCATGAAAAGTAGTGTTATTAGACTATCAAAATGTGGTCCATAAAAAAGGAGGAAATGCATGGTCATTTCATCTTTAGTTTATATTGCATGACACCACCTTGTTGATATCAACAATGCATCCCTTTAATGCATTAGACCAGCAGTTCTTAAACTAGAGGCAGTGGATCCCTGGGGCAAAATTTTAGAGTTTCTGTCTCTGCTTTGTAAGTTTGAATTTTCTATTTTGTATTAAATCTGCTTTGGCAAAGCCTAAAACATGGTACATGTTTAAAAATAAATGGATAAGTGAATTATCTGTAATGTCAGAACAGGCCCATGTTGGTCAGCGGTAGCTAGCGAAATGGACAGGGTTCTGGTAAGGCTTGGCCCTCATTGTTAAGTAAAAGTATGTAATAACTGGGGCAAGGGGGACTTAGATTAAAAAAAAGCTTGAGAGCTGCATCATTAGACTGAATACAGTTTTCCGTATTAATCCTGGTTGAAGCAAACAAGCAGGGATGTAAATTCCATTATTCTAACCTGCAAGCCCAATTAACCTGAGCCTTATACACAATCTCGTCATCTCCACCTCCCAGCACACTCAATGTGGATTACGCTCCACTTGGTTCCTTGCACCGGTAGGACTCTGCTTGTGGAACCCGTCAGTCCTCTGGTACTGACCACACTTTTCAAAAGGCCAGAACACATTTTTTTTGTCCATCAATCTTTGATTCACAAATGATTTCAATCAGCTGTTTTGCAAGCACACTGTTTACTCTTGCTTTTTTGGAAAATGGATTACTTTCAGAGTGATCTGATTTAACTGACCATTTCATTTTATTTTAAGTCTTCGCAAATGTTTCTTCTTCACAATACAGAGCATTTAGTCCCCCTGTACAATGCTATAAAAAGGTCACAGGAACAGCACACAAACATACAAAATAGTTTAACAAACTTTTTTTCTCAATACATTTTCTACCCTGGTACTATGACCCACCATAGCAAAACTGATTCAGTCAAATGTATACAATCTTATTTACACAGGACCATTTGATCAAAGTGCTTGTAGAATCCTGATTAATGTTTAAAGATAGGGTTATGTACAGTGTTTTACAAATGTTCTAACAGCACTCCTCTTATAGAGTTTGGATTTCTTCCCCCCTGGACAGACACGAGAAGCTTTATAAGAATGTGCTTCTGGAGGTAAATGCTCCTAAGTTTAAACAAAAAAGGAAACTTGCATCTTAAAAGACATCACTGCCTAAAAATATGCATTTCAAATTTAAATAGTCACACACACACACACACTCACACAGAGGCCCAAAAAAAAACTGACAATGCTTGGATTCTGTCTGGAGTCTCTGGAGTCTAGACTCTCAATGCCTCAGAGCCAAGAGCTGTTTGATGCTGAATCATTTTAGTGGGGCAAAAGAAGGGTAGAATCAGTGAAAGGCCATATGCTTGATTCTGTAATGCTTTGGGCAGAGGAAGTAATCCATCGTCGTATTCTCACACAAGAGGACGCACACCACCCCCGAGAAATACAACTGCAAAATGCATGTCGGAAGGCATCTGTCAGTCTGCTGCAACGGCAGCGGTTGGCAAAAAGGTCCCAAGTGGACAGTTCATGAACGGGAGCAGTGTACAGGCCTGGTTATGACAAGTCATCCTCTGTGTTTACCACTGAAATCTAGAGAGAAAAAAAAGCAAATTTATTCTCAGCTTAGTCACATAA